GTGCATGGGGGGGGGGAGTGGATGGTTGCTTTGGGGTGTTGAAGCGGGGGATATGGGTAGGGTACAGGCTGCCCCACAAGCCGGCTGTGTTTTTTTGAGAAAAGACATTGAAAGATCCACCACCCCACCCCCCTCCACTCCAGTTTGCTAGAGATGGTTGCGGTGAAGCTGCACCCTGGTTTTGCACTTTCAGGGGGTAAAGAAAGAGAAGAAAGGGTTAAGGGAAGCACCGACTTGTTCAAAATGGTCCTGGAGCAGCTCTGGCTGGGAGAAAACCTCCAGCCCCTGCTCCTGCTCAGCCTGGGAGCCTCCGGGACCCTGGGCACCAGCCCAGCACAGGAGGGCGAGCTCTGGTTCCAGCCTCCCTGCGTCCAGACGGACTAACCCTAAGCCTTCCGCCTGCCCTAACAAAGCCTCGCATCCCTCTGCTGCCGTGGAAGTGGCCTTTTGCTTGTGGCCTTTTGCTTGCGTGCCTCTGTCCCGTGGCTTTGCCCTGGGTCAGGGGAGAAATACGGTCCACAAAGGCGTGCGTGGGCCGTCGGGGGTGGTGGCACCTCCAAATCCCACCGGGGGTCCCCGACAGCCCCGAGGAGGTCTGCAAAATGCCACGTTGGCGTGGGGCGTCCCCTTGCAGGGCTGAGCCATACAAACGCAAGAGAGGATGATGACGGGCTGCGCATCCCCCCCAGATTCCCTCTATTTCCCACCCCGGGTTGTGAATTCACCGATAATCTCAGTCGTAATCCAAGGATGGGCAAAATTTCTCTCGTCTCGCCACCGCGGGCTGCGTCACTCATCACAGACCCAGCACACCCGGGCAAATTTCTCGCCAGTCTCTGAAGTAATGAACTTCTTTTAAGCTGAGGATGTAAGCGGCGTGGGCCCGCCCGTTGCTCACAAGAGAACTACTCCATGTATCTCTTTTCTTTCAGAATGAAAAAGGCAAACGTTGACCTCACTATGAAACAGTTTCAAGGTATCTTTAGAAATAAAAGGGAAGAAAAAAAGAAGAAAAAAAAAAAAAAAAAGAAAAAAATCCCTCAGATTGTAAATGCTTGCTGCACCCGATGCTGTCTGCACCTTCAAAAGTGCGTCAAGGGCGGTTTTTGAGCCTGTTTGCACGAATCTTTGCTCTTAGGTAGCCAGGATGGCTCTTCCCTCCAAAAGGGAGGTTTGTTCCCAAAAGGATTTTAGGATACTGATTCCCCCCCTCTCCGAGGCTACGTAATTCCCACTCTGGCAAAGGGTCCTTGGTGCAGCTGCGCACTCTCTTTGCTTCATGGCTAGTGCGTGTTTCCTTCCATATGTAATCCCAGCGGGCCCTTCGCTTCCAGCCCTGTTTGCTTTAACCCTGAAGCTGCCCCGTCGCAGCCCTTTCTTGTCTCCGCATGCAAGGAGCAGCCCTCTGAGGCTGGCCAGGAGCAGGGTGGGAGGAGAGGACCAAGGAATGAAAACTTCAGTGTAGCCTTGGGCATGATGCAGCCTGTCGAGGAAAAAACTTTGGGCGTGAAGGTGGAATTTAAGCCCTGAGGATCTGCCGTCAGGAAGGCTTGCTGGGAGCAGCGTGAAGCCGGGAGGGAGGGAAGGTCTGGGGACAGGTTACAGCCTCACAGACAGGTAGGATGAGCTCCACAGAGCTTTCGGACACGGCATTTAGGACTGGTCAGTCTGCAGATTTTTTGAAGCTCAGAGCCCTCACCGGGGATGGGTGCACCTACGTTGTGGTGAGATGCACCTACCTAATGCATGAATGGATTGGGAAGGGGCTCTGCTGGGGGGGAAGGAGGGGTCCACCACCTTCCTCTGCCCTAGCACCTCCTTGGCAGGGCTGTACAGGCAAAACTAAGTCAGACAGAGCTGACCAGTGTTGGATCTTCTCGAGGGACCCCCCCCGGCTTAGCTTGGTGGAAGCTCATGTGCTCCATCTAGTGTCTAGAAAGCTGAGCCTTGGGGTACGGAGCTGGGGTCCCCAGAGGACAATCCCTTGCTGTACCCTGACCACGATAGCTCCTGGATGGATGGGCAGCACAAACATCCCACTTCTAGCTTATCCTGGCCAGGGCAGGGGTTTGACCTGCTACACTGGAGACAGAAATATCTGTTGCTTCCATTCCCTGGCCTTTCCTTAAATCATTTACTGTACATGAACATATGGTAAATTTGCTTAAAAATGAAGCTTTCATCCAAAATACATAGGCTCTGCATGCCAGAGTCCAGCCTGGACTTTTGAAGGTTAATTCTTGCTCAGGGGAAAGCCCAGTGTGGGCTTGGGATCATTGCACCCAAAGTGAAGCATTGATGCAGATGCTCTGGCTATCACTCGAGCCTAGGAGTGGGTTTCACTGGAAGAGCCCCCGGGGTCTCAGAATCTTCCAGGAAGGGCTTGAATCATGCTGATGGTGAGCTTTTCTTGTCCAGCAGGTCCTCGGAGTTGTTGGGTGCTGCTGAAGCCATGTGGATTACTGTGGTGCTTGCTCTCTGTGGCCTCGCTGCGGCCGTGCCCTCGGAGGACAGGAAGCTGAGCGACAAGGCAACGACGCTGGCTGACCGCAGCACGACGCTGGCCTTCAACCTCTACCATGCCATGGCGAAAGACAAGAACATGGAGAACATCCTGCTGTCCCCCGTGGTCGTGGCATCCTCCCTCGGCCTCGTGTCCCTCGGAGGCAAGGCCACAACTGCCTCCCAAGCCAAGGCAGTGCTCAGCGCAGACAAACTGAACGACGACTACATGCACAGTGGGTTGTCCGAGCTCCTGAACGAGGTCAGCAACAGCACAGCCCGCAATGTCACCTGGAAGATCGGCAACCGCTTGTATGGCCCTGCCTCCATCAACTTCGCCGATGACTTTGTGAAGAACAGCAAGAAACACTACAACTACGAGCACTCCAAGATCAACTTCCGAGACAAGAGGAGCGCCCTGAAATCCATTAACGAGTGGGCAGCCCAGACCACGGATGGGAAACTTCCAGAGGTCACGAAAGATGTTGAGAAAACCGATGGGGCCCTCATTGTCAATGCCATGTTCTTCAAGCGTAAGTTCCATCTTCAGTTCTTGATAGGAGTGACCCAAAACCTAGCCTGAGCCCATACACGGCAGCCCAAATGCAAACAAGTCCTAGGTCTGCTGAAGGCATGTTTTTTTTCAGAACTGTGCATGAAATTACCAACCCATTCCCTTTTCTTACAAGCTGAATTTCTCCCTCCTGCAGCTCACTGGGATGAGAAGTTCCATCATAAGATGGTGGACAACCGTGGCTTCATGGTGACCCGTTCCTACACTGTGGGTGTTCCCATGATGCATCGCACAGGTAAGTTGCAAACTGCCTGCCCCATGTCAAGACCAACTGCAGTTATGTTCACTGCTGCTCTGTCACCCAGTTTTCCACCAGCTGCTTCCAAGATTGTTTTGCCTCACAGTCATGAGTGCAAGAGGACAAAGCAGGGTGCGCTTGTTCTGCTGATTCAGTCTCTCTGTGAGCAGAGGGAATCCATGTTTACTGTTGGGTGCTTAGCTGTCAGGAATAAATCCAAGCTCATCATGCATGGGAGAGCCACAGATTTGAGTTGTTGCCAACTCCAATAATGCTGGGCCAGTTCCCAAAACTGTTCAGCTAGTCAGGGAAAGTCCAGGGTGAATTCATAACAAGGTTGTGGGTAGCTTTGCCTCTGTTCTACATCTCACCGTTTCCTGCTTCTGATTCCTAGGTCTCTACAATTACTATGATGATGAGACAGAGAAGCTCCAGGTGGTAGAGATGCCACTTGCTCACAAGCTCTCCAGCATGATCTTTATCATGCCAAACCACGTGGAGCCTCTGGAGAGGATTGAGAAACTGCTGAACAGGGAGCAGCTAAAGGCCTGGGCTGGCAAGATGAAGAAGAGATCCGTGGCCATCTCGCTGCCTAAAGTCGTCCTGGAAGTCAGCCACGACCTTCAGGTAAAAGAGATCCTTAAAGAAAACAGTTGGGCCTTACAGTTCTTTGGAGTGGGAGAGAAGATAGTGGGTTGATGGGTTACATGTGCCTGTCATCCTTTTTCCAGTGGCTAGTCTGGAAAGGATCCCACTGTGTCATCTCTGGGAGGGTTGCTGACCTCTTTTCTCCTCCTAGAAACACTTGGCTGATCTGGGCCTGACAGAAGCCATTGACAAAACCAAGGCTGATTTGTCAAAGATCTCTGGCAAGAAAGACCTTTACCTGTCCAACGTCTTCCACGCTGCTGCTCTTGAATGGGACACGGAAGGGAACCCCTACGATGCTGACATCTACGGCCGAGAGGAGATGAGGAACCCCAAGCTCTTCTATGCTGACCACCCCTTCATCTTCATGATCAAGGACACTAAAACCAACTCCATTCTCTTCATTGGCAGGCTCGTGAGGCCCAAAGGCGACAAGATGCGTGATGAGTTGTAGTTAGGTTGGTTTTTTGTTGTTGTTTTGTTTTTTTTTTTTTCCCAGAGCTTTGGTTTGTGTGTGTTTTTAGTGGGGGATTTCAAAAAAGGGGAAACACTATTTTGTATCCTTCTCGAACTATGGGTGCTATTCAGACCAGGGTGCATTGTGATGAGAAACCAGCGTACACTTTACCTCACCCCAAAATACTTATTGCACAAACCCACCTCCAGAGAGGAACAGGGGAGCCTGGCACAAAAGAGGGTCACCGGGAGTGGAAGGGAACTGGCATGCACTGCCTCAGCTATCAGCATCCTCAGCTCATATGTTCAGGCTGATGCCTCACTCTTCCCTGCACTAGTTAAGCCTCCTGCTAAGTAAGTGCCTTGCTGCTACCATCAGCCCTGCAAAGAAAAGCACAAGCTCTCCACCCTTCCATCTCAAATGCTTCTGCACGTTTAGCTTGGCCACTTTTCTCCCACTTTGATGCTCTGTGGCATCACACCTGAGCTGCTCTGGTTGCTTTGCAGTTGTTTCTTGCTTCTCTCTTCTCTCTCCAGTGGTATCTAACAGAGCACAAAGGGCCAGTTCTGCAGTCCAGCCCCCTCTGTGGCTCTGGGAGCAGAGTAGGACTGTGACAGCACGTAAGAACAAAGATTGTATGGAGTTGTGCCCTCCTGTCCCACCTAACCCTGCTCTGGATAACTGTTAGATGCTTCAACCACAGCAGGTCACCAGCTCCTCAGCTACAACACTCACTAGAAAGCCAAGCGCAGCTTTGCTCAACACTTCAAAGAAAAGTAAGTGCCTTAGGGGTGTCGGCAGAGAGGCCAAAGAGCAGATGGGCTTCTAGGAAGATAAACCTGAGGTCCCTTAACACTCTGGTGTGACAGAAATGGCTGTGCTCTACCCCTCTGGGGAGCATGAAGGGGGCTCTCAGGCCAACATCTGGAATTACAACACCCTGTACCAGGCAAACAGAGGAATTCCACTTCTCTCCGTGCTTCTGCATCAGCACACAGGGCTGGGAAAGAGCTCCCACTGTGAAGGTTCTCCCAGTTAGGACCAGGGCTGGTCCCTATCAGCTCCTGGAGCCACCCAAGGGACCCTTCCTGGTTTCAGACAGGGATCAAATTCACTTCTACTTTCTTTAAATAAAAAGCTTTAAAGCTGCCATTACCTGACTTCCTAATGACCCTCTTCTGAAGCTCCTCTCCTCCATGATACTCTAGCTCCCCGTTGGCTGACCTGGATAAGGGCACGCTGAAAACCAAATGTATTTATAGTTATACTCGTATTTATGTCTGATAATTAGCAAGTTTCACAGCCTGCTCCAGCCTACACTTGGAGGCTATTCCTATCTTCTCTTGAAGGGATACCATCAGGTTAATACTGTTTAAAGAAGTAACCGATATGATCCCATGAGCATTGAAGCATGTGTCAGGTAAGCCTTGCTACGCACTGAGACACTGCAAAGCAAGTAGGGATAACTGAAATAGCCGAAATCTCTGCACCGCAATCTAAGCACCAGTTATTTGAAAGCAGCGAGGGCAGTTGGCTGCATTCTTTTTGGGTTTTATTTCCCTGCCAATGCGCTTCACTGTCAGGTTGCTACGCAGAAGCCCAATGCTGCATTTTCTCAGACCACACACAGGACTATTTTCCACTTATTTATTAAGTTAGTACAGAGTCACTTATTGGGGGTTTCCTACAGGCAAAACTACAGCAGTTTGTGCCCCCAAGTTTGACCTTACTGTGCCTTCTCCAGGTTTATCAAGGCTACACAACTGCAGAGAAGCTCATCTGCCCTAATTCCTATCCAAGCCAGCCGGAATGGGAGATTCTTGCCCTTCAGCCTCTTCCCAGATCATATTCCCAGGTGCTTTCCCCATTGTGTTGGGAGGTAGGAGGCAATCCGCAAGGATGTACCCAAAAAGCCTAAAGCCCAGGCTTAGCTAGGCACTACCCAGTGATCAGCGCACTGAAACCCACACGCTGTAGCACACGATGGAGGAGAGGGGGGTGGGTAAAAGGGGTGGGCAAGGCAAGAACACACTGTGGGATCTTGTGAATAATTTGCATCATCTGGATGCAGGCGTCTGATGGCTTTTATTGTCTGTTCTCGTACCACACAATGACAGTTGTATAATTTTGCAATAAAACTTTTTTCAGTGAACTTCTGGCAGCCACAGTCACTTGGAGGGTTTGGGAGTTTAAAGACATTCCTTGCCATCCTTAAATCCGTAACATCCTTAAAACATCTTTCTTAATCTGGCATCTATGCACCAAAATTACACTTAATACACAACAATACATGAATTCTCATGACATCACATCATGGGAAAGGAACGCTATTAGCATGTTGGCTTTTCATTTTAACATTTTGCTCCTGAAACTGGAAGTATCCAGCAAGTAAGAGGACCTACTGCCCTGCCATTTAACGGAGCAGCAGATGGCTCAGTTAAAAAGAAAATATGGCAGCGTAGGAATAAAACTGAGCTGTTAGCCACAGGGACCAACCTTCCTGACCCTACAATCCAAAGCTTCTCTAGCTGGCATCCAATCGAAGGAAATAAGAGGAAAAAGAACTGTGAGAACCTGTACCGTGTCTGTGGGCATAGCTACATCTTGGAAATTGCAGCAGCATCAGACCTTCCTGTCCTTCCAGTGCTGGAAGGGGACTGACCTGTTGTCCATTCAAGCAGGCAGCCTTCTGCCACTCAGTCACGAGCAAAACTAATGCCACAGACATGTCCCCTTTTCCCAGTGCTAAAATCGCACAGGTCTGGGATGGGCAGGCTCACACATTGGTGTGGAGCTCTTCAATGACTGAGAAAGCACCGGGTGCTTGGTGGGAGCAGCTTTTCACCGCACAGAATTACAGGAGCCATTTCCAGCGCCAACCACAACAGCCCAGGAACCACCAACCTGAAACGTCAATATTGCAAGGAACTCAAAAGCTTTCTAGAGCTCCTGAGCTCATCCTACACCCGCAGCTTGTCCTGCAAACAGCTTTAAATACTCGTGGTTTTCATCCTAGGGAAGGCAGCACCCTCAAGATGCAGGGAACTGAACAGGCTCCCTGCCCCTCCTTTAGCAGCATCCTCAAACAGCTCACAGGGGTGATACACGCCAGCCAATGCATGCTAGAAAGGTAACACACCAGCCTCGACCCTTGTGGGATAATCACAGACTGGTTTCGGTTGGAAGGGAACCTAAAGATCATCCAGTGCCACCCCTCTGCCATGGGCAGGGCCACCTTCCACCAGCCCAGGTTGCCCAAAGCCCCGTCCAACCTGGCCTTGAACCCTTCCAGGGAGGAGGCAGCCACAGCTTCTCTGGGCAACCTGTGCCAGGGCCTCACCCCCCTCACAGGGAACAATTTCTGCCTTAGATCTCATCTAAATCTGCCCTCTGTCAGTTTAGAACTTTCACCACTCATGCTATCCCTACACCCCCTGATGACAAGTCCCTCCCCCTGTTCCTGCAGCCCCTTCGAGCCCTGGGAGGCCGCTCTAAGGTCTCCCCAGAGCCTTCTCTTCTCCAGCTGAACCCCCCAACTCTCTCAGCCTGTCCTCACAGGGGGTGCTCCAGCCCCCCAAGCATCTCCGTGGCCTCCTCTGGCCCCGCTGGAGCAGGTCCGTGTCCTTTCAGTGCTGAGCACCGTGTGTGGGGTCTCACCAGGGTGGTAATCCTTGATGTTGTCAACTTTTCACAGGATGGATCTAGCAAGCAGAGAGGTACAGCAGTACCACTCTCACACTACTTGCACATCACTTCATTTTACACACGAGCAACTAAACATCTCCAATCAGTGCTGCGAGATTAACAGGCTGATGGACCAGGCTGGAGGGCTTTAAACCAGAAATAAACTGGGCGATCTCCAGGAAAGCCAGCCCTCACTGAAGGACTGCAGGAGAAACGTCTAGCTGACCACCATCGAGCACATTTAAGAATTCAGACACAACATCCTTGCACTATGTGTCACTCTTCTGTTGCTTCAGGCCTTCCAGCTTTCACACATTTCCTTCTCTTATAAAGTGACAAGGCTGGTCTGTCACTTTTTTTTTGAATTTTTTTCCAAATTCAAATTCATATTTTGAAAAATAAAAACAGTTACTACTTACTCTACCACTTAACACATAGTTAACTTTCTTTAAAGCTTTCCACTGTACAATGTGCACAGAAACCTGCGATCAGACTCCTCCTCTGACACCCTGAGAAGACACATCTGTTTCTTACAGACTTAACTGGGTTCCCAGCCCTGCCAGAGAAACTGGGAACAGAAAGGCTGAGGCTCACACATCCACACACGCTGCCAGACAGACCAGTTCCTGACACCACCAGTTTGAAATTCCAGTTCCTAAGTTGCCTGCCCAAGCTCCTGCGGAGAAGCCTCACGAGAACCAAAATCAGGATATAAAAGCTATTCCTAAGCAGCAAATTTTACAGCTATGTACAATTTTTGTTAATGTAACAAACAGGTTCTGAATTTCTCAAAATCTGAACAGAACAAAGCCTTGTTCCTGTGCACAACATGGTGTGCCTAACAGCCTCTTCCCACTACTGCACCAGACACTGAAAACCACACTGGGAAGGGAGCTGACAGAACTAGAATCTCTGCCTGAAACTTAACCAAATGCTCAATCTCACTGCTTCAGGTACAGGGCTTTAGCTAGACCACAGCAGGCAAGAACAGCAGCAAAAGTAACTCATACAGCAACAGAATGCAAGTGAAAACACATCCCTGCCTACAGACAAGTATTTCAGTAGCATAAATAGCCCTGCCAACTATTAACAACTTTCAGGATCTACTTATGTTATCCTACAGCTCATTAAAGCCAGTTATTAATACAGTGACAAATTAATGGTCTCAAGCCTCAAAGGAAGACAAGTTTTTTTTTCACCAATTGCTTAAATATTTCCATCTCAAAACTCAGGTGGTTTGAAATCCAGAGTGTACTCCCCCCCCCCCCCCCC